CAACAGGCCAAACTTACAGACATAACATGCACAGATACTGTAAAACAAAGATTAACACTCAAATACCAGAACAGATTGCATACAGTACTAAAAATACACCTAAATGCAAAACATACTATTAAAGTTATTAATACCTACGTTGTCCTTACATTCACTTATTCTTTTGGTTTCAAGATCTGTGCATGTCTAGTTATACACTGGACATGCACAGATCTCAAGCAACTCCAAAAGAAAACAAGATCAACATTTACTAAGCATAAACAATATCACCCAAAATCATCTACAGAAAGATTAACTCTTCCTTGTAAAGAAGGTGACTGTAACTTTACTAATTTAGTGAGCCTACACTACAAACAAATTCAGACATTCTTGTTTTTTGTGGAAAAACTCCCACAAACATCAAAATTATATAAAGCTATAACTCTGGCAGACTAACCACACACCTTTCAGCTTACATTCTGAGCACATGGACATACTATAGCTCAACACAATGGACATACATATGAAGCAATCATGGGTCCAAAAGACACTTCATGGCAGGCATGCCTATGACCTAGCTCAGGATTGTGTTGACAAAGCTGCATCAAACTACTGACTGACTAGGAGCTGCCTGTTTGGAGAGACTGAAGGGTTTATGGTTGCCATTCAAGATCAGGTCAAACACACTAAAAACTGTAGAAAACACATCCTGAAGGATACATCACTAACAAATGACTCTTACAGAAAATGCCAAATTCTGCCAGAAACAGTACAACATGGTTGCAAGCTCTTAGCACAAACAGAATATTTACATAGGCGTAATCAAGTAGCAAATATAATATATCAAGTAGCAAATATGACATATCAAGAGCTTGCACATAAACACAGATTATTAAATACCCAGACACCATACTACAAATATACAGTAATACCTCGCCATATGCAAACCCGGAGTTACGTGATTTTCAAATCTCGTTGATTCATCTTTTGTTTGAGTGCCACGCAACTCTTGATTACTCACTCCTCCCCCACTATTGTTCAGCTTACATGTTTGGACGTGTCATGCGGAATCAACACATAGCTACAATTTATTTTGTGTTATTTATTTCTGTGTTTGTTATATCTACGGAGACTCGAGAGACTCTATGTTGTGATTTCTTGTAACCGTGAATGAATCAAAAGGCGAGATAAGGTTAACGAGAACATTTATTAGCTTACATACATCCAATTTGGATTTTACACAAATTGCGAAATTATACCCCGACTTACGTGGTTATCGCTCAATCCCACCTATCGTGTAAGTTTGGGGTATTACTGTACTACAACAGAACCATAATCACAGATAAAACAATTTATGACAATAGACCTGACATAACTCTCATCAACAAATGCAGTAAGATCTCTGTTCCAAACACTCATAACATAAAAAAATGCTCACACTGAAAAAATCAAGTACATTCCATTTACTCAAGAAATAAGACAGATGTGGAGGATGGATAAGATATTTATTGTACCTGTTGTCCTCTTTTCAACCGGTGTTATACCATATACACATAGCACTGCAGAAAGTCATGTCACTAGGGTTTCTCAAATGGGATCCCTTTGAGAAACCAGAGTTTGAGAGCAGGGTTAAAAAACAACCGGAATTCTGGTTTTTTTTAACCAGGAAATTCCGCAAATTTCTTAAAAGTTCACTTTTTTCTTATTTTGTGTTAAGGTTGAGTAAATTTGCAAATAGAAAGAATAATTAACTCATAAACTGTCAGAATACATTTGTATTTATTAATTTTAAACCTACTTATTGTTTTTTTTAATTTTTCCTCATTATGGCATGTTACAAATGGTCATAATCAATACATAGCTTATTTGTGGCAGGACTCTGAAAATTCTTTACTTGTCAGAACCTGTAAGGATAACTGTGCTTATGCTGTCTTAATTTTTAACCATGCCCAGTAGCTTCAATAACATTATGCCAGGTTGTGCAATATTGCATAGGCATTATGCCAGGTTGTGCAAATTGGGCAAGGATACAAACAAAATATGCAAGTATAAAGTTTTTCTTCATAAACCTGATTATTAAAACCAAACAAATTGCCGAATTATCGGANAACTGTAGAAAACACATCCTGAAGGATACATCACTAACAAATGACTCTTACAGAAAATGCCAAATTCTGCCAGAAACAGTACAACATGGTTGCAAGCTCTTAGCACAAACAGAATATTTACATAGGCGTAATCAAGTAGCAAATATAATATATCAAAAGCTTGCACATAAACACAGATTATTAAATACCCAGACACCATACTACGAATATACTACAACAGAACCATAATCACAGATAAAACAATTTATGACATAACTCTGACATAACTCTCATCAACAAATGCAGTAAGATCTCTGTTCCAAACACTCATAACATAAAAAATGCTCACACTGAAAAAATCAAGTACATTTCATTTACTCAAGAAATAAGATAAATGTGGAGGATGGATAAGATATTTATTGTACCTGTTGTCCTCTCTTCAACCGGTGTTATACCACATACACATAGCACTGCAGAAAGTCACAATATTGAACATGTCACTAGGGTTTCTCAAATGGGATCCCTTTGAGAAACCAGAGTTTGAGATCAGGGTTAAAAAACAACCGGGATTCCGTTTTTTTAACCAGGAAATTCCACAAATTTCTTAAAAGTTCACTTTTTTCTTATTTTGTGTTAAGGTNCCTTTGAGAAACCAGAGTTTGAGATCAGGGTTAAAAAACAACCGGGATTCCGTTTTTTTAACCAGGAAATTCCACAAATTTCTTAAAAGTTCACTTTTTTCTTATTTTGTGTTAAGGTTGAGTAAATTTGCAAATAGAAAGTATAATTAACTTATAAGCTATCAAAATACATTTGTATTTATTAATTTTAAACCTACTTATTGGTTTTTTTAATTTTTCCTCATTATGGCATGTCACAAATGGTCAATAATCAATACATAGCTTATTTGTGGCAGGACTCTGAAAATTCTTTACTTGTCAGAACCTGTAAGAATAACTGTGCTTATGCTGTCGTAATTTTTAACCATGCCCAATAGCTTCAATAACTGCATTATGCTAGGTTGTGCAAATTGGGCAAGGATACAAACAAAATATGCAAGTATAAAGTTTTTCTTCATAAACCTGATTATTAAAACCAAACAAATTGCCGAATTATTGGGCTATAAGCCTGATGCCACTATTAAAGCAGCCAAGGTAGACAAATGAAGAATACTAGAGAGCAGAGCAAAAAAAGTACTACAGTCTCGAAAATGAACTAGAAATCTTCCAGGCTACAGGTGGGAAAAATATAACATCTGTCTTCTCTTAAATGTATTAAATTCCACTAACATTCCACTAACATCAATTGAATTGACAATTCCACTAACATTAATTGAATTGGAAAGGGCATTCTTAGTAGCTGGACTTTTCATTACTAAAATAAGAATCAGATTGAGTGATCGGAGTATTGACCATCTTGCTTTTTAAAATCTTATAATGTTTTATTTAAAAAACGAAAATTACCTTTTAAGTTAGAAGTTTGATCTAAGTTCATTTTTTTAAATTTTCAACTCAATTCAAAGCATTTTGTTGTTGTATGCAGTTTCCAGCAAACTTTAATAAATTTTTTCTATTTGTGAAAATTTCTACAAAATTCAAAGGTAATTTTTAATATGTATCTTACACAACATTATTAATATGATTTTGGAGATTGCAGAACATATTAAATTACTTTAAAAAATGAAAAATAATTATACAAAATATCATGAAATCAAATGATATATCTTAAAAATAATTAATTCTGTCCTGGGATTCTGGGAAACAGTTCACTTTTATCCCAGGACAAGCAAAAGACTGGGAAATGAGAAACCCTACATGTCACATTGTTAGGAAGTTTGTAGACTTTCACATGTACACTAATAACACAGCTTAATGTTACACTTGTTTGGATAGCTTTGTCTTGAGTTTAGTCTGGCATAGCACATGGCACCAGTATTGGCTGAGCATAACATTTACAATATATAAATAAACTGCAGGTAAGCAGCACATATTTTGCAAGAACCTCACAAGTTTCCAGTTAGGTTTTATAAAAAGTAAAGCAGAATTCTCAAAATGTAGCCCAAATTATTTTTTAAAATGGCCCAAAAAGTAGTAAGTCACCCAATGTAACTTATAGCCCTACAAATATCTCAATCTGCTATATGTAGCCCAATCTTGCCATCCACATTGGTCTAAACAAACAATTTAACATACACATATCACAGTTTGGACAGAATTTTCACTTCAGATTTTAAAGTAGCCATATTTCAAACTAACCAAATTCCTNCTGGGAAATGAGAAACCCTACATGTCACATTGTTAGGAAGTTTGTAGACTTTCACATGTACACTAATAACACAGCTTAATGTTACACTTGTTTGGATAGCTTTGTCTTGAGTTTAGTCTGGCATAGCACATGGCACCAGTATTGGCTGAGCATAACATTTACAATATATAAATAAACTGCAGGTAAGCAGCACATGTTTGGCAAGAACCTCACAGGTTTCCAGTTAGGTTTTATAAAAAGTAAAGCAGAATTCTCAAAATGTAGCCCAAATTATTTTTTAAAATGGCCCAAAATGTAGTAAGTCACCCAATGTAACTTATAGCTGTACAAATATCTCAATCTGCTATATGTAGCCCAATCTTGCTATCCATGTTGATCTAAACAAACAATTTAACATACACATATCACAGTTTGGACAGAATTTTCACTTCAGATTTTAAAGTAGCCATATTTCAAACTAACCAAATTCCTTTATGTGTAAATATCTACATTCCTGGCTAGGACAAATAGTACAGTTATGAACTAACAGGATTTCCTGTACATGTCAAATTATTGTAGTTATTTAATTTGATAAAGTACACAATGTTAACTGTATATTTTATTAAATAAACTATTGTGTTTGGTTTTTGCAAGTAGATATCAGGTTTTTAAATAAAATATTCTTTCTAGGTAGCCAGTAAGATGTACGATATGGGTTGTTATGAAATATCTTTAGGAGATACCATTGGAGTTGGAACACCAGGATCTATCAAATCCATGCTGAATGAAGTCACAAAATCTTTACCTGTTAATGCTTTAGCTATTCATTGTCACGACACTTACGGACAAGCTCTAGCCAATATTTTAACATCATTACAGGTGATTTTTTTTTTATTTTATCTTAAACACTATTTTTATGTAATTACAATATTTTGTTTTAATTCTAAAGTTTACATTTCTCAATTCCATAATTTAATGCCAAGAAAAGAAAATTTTATTATTATTAGAATATTTGAGGGCTGATCAAAAATATCTGGTACAGAATTTATTATAGAAAAACAAAAGCAATTTCAAAGTTTGACTTTCTAGATCATATGCAGCAATATCAGGGATTCTTCCACTTTTCCATGCATGTCTGATAGGCTGTTTGAGAATAAGTATAGCTGCATGTTGCATTTAGTTATATCTCCACAATGCCTTGATATCATTTCTCCTTTGGGATGGTTTTGAGCCTGAGAAAAAGAAGTTGCAAGATGCCAAATCTGGTAAGGTTGGTGGGGAAGTATGGGAATGCTGCACTTCGACAAAAGTTCCATGACATTTTGGGCTGTGTGGTACAACTCATTGTCGTGGTACAGAAGACCATTTATGAGGACATTCCAACAAACTGCAATGCAGAACAGTAAGATGATCAACAGTCTCATTGATTCATGCCATTGGATCAGTCTTTGTGGTTGTTATGAATTGAAGTATGTCCTTTTTTGAAATGTGAATACCACTGAAATGTTTTGGACTGATTGAGTGTTGTTTCTCCAAATGCTTGTTGAAGCATTTCAAACATTTTGATAACTATCTTACCAAGTTTCCAGCAAAACTCCATGCAAATAAATACATTACTTTTTCAACTTGTCCATTTCACATCACAACAAAGGGAAGCACATGCCTGCACAGTAGCCCATCTCACTGATGATTGACAGGTGCATTCAGAAAATATAGTGAAATACTACATTGGTTGCTACATTGTTGCTATTAGTTAGCTCTATAAAAAAAATTATCCTAGATATTAGCCCTCATAAATAAATTACATAGTTCAAACATTTTTACAGTTTATATGTTCCATTAAATTGTTAGTGAAACACTATACAGTATAGTGTATAGTTATACAAAGTAAAACTTCAGTTTTTATGTAAAAATTATACAAATTTTCATAAGCAAAATTTAATTAGATACTAATGAAAATAATAAATTTATGCAGTAGCTATATAGAATAAATGTGACAATGTGCAAGTGCCCCCTATGTTTCCACACCACTTCATAATGCCACATCAGGATTCTGACACCACTGTGTCTTATGGATAGACACAGAAATCACTATGGTCACTAATTATTGTTCATGCACAAGCAGTTGCATTTGTAGGTAGTCTGATTCGATATGGAGGATTTCCAAGAGGCTGTGTGTTCGAAAGAAGTGCACTCAACTACAGATTTAGCAAACAAATACAGTAGAGTGTCGATTATTCAAATCAATTAGGGATTGTTCAGAAAATTGATATTTCGGATAACCGATTGTGTACGAAAAAATATATTAATTTATCCCATGTTGAAATTTTTCTCCGTTGCGTATCACTTTGCGTTGAATTTTCGTGGATGTTAAGCCTAACGAAGACTATTGTATTGTTAAAAATTATTTTTTTATTTTGTATAAACAAAATAAATATATTGAAAAATATAAAAACAATAAAAAATTATACTTCAGAAGTTAATTTAGTATCAAAAACGTAAAATATTTGAGTAGCCCAAGACATAGCCAAAGATTGCAGCGCCACAGCACTGGCGAAAATTTAAATTTGCCGACTGGAATTCTTTCGGATAATTGACTTTCGAATAATCGATGCTCTACTGTATTTTATTTATTTATAGCTATAGGAGGTTAGTTAGGATTTCACTATAGAGTTATTAGTACTATTGTTGCTGGCCCTAACCACAAGAGAGAATTTATATTCAATTGTGTGTTGATAAATACCTTGAGTATAACCAAGAAAGTCAGTTCCTTATTCATTGGCAAATAGGTGGTTTGGAGGACCTCTTGTCCTTAGAGCATCTGGTATCTGGAATTGCCTGAAGATCAATGTGGATTGCTTGATGATAGTCAGTGAGACATTTGATCCAAGGTGGTCGGTGTATCTGAGATCTGGAAGAGAAAAAATGAGTGACAAACTCTGGAGATGGCAAACTGCCCTCATTGTCATTGATTTTATTCTTTTATTTGGGGGTCCTCCCTTTTTTTTCTTATGCCCATCTTTGGTAATGTTAATTTCTATGTCCAATAGACAAATTCTGGTCATTATGTTCTTGGTGACACATCCAGAAGATATCATCTCTGGACAAGGAAGCAAGTCCATGGGAAAAGATATAATCGTATCGTTTTTGGATTTTTTTTTTCTTTTTCATAAAAATTTTTTGTCTAGTCCAGGCTCTCACGTAAAGAACTGATCTGAATTAATTTAGATCATACCAAAAATTTCAAAATTTATGATGTGGAATGGCGATATTTGATTAATAAACTGTTTATAATTTATTTACGGTGTTTTGTGCTGCATAAATATTAGACAGAAGGATTAACATTTTGAATCATTTCTACAGATCTTCAGGTCAATGGTTTTTGAATATTGTTACATTTTCAAATATGCAACAATATTCAAAATCCTTTAACCCTAAGATCTGTAGAAATTATTCAAAATGTTAATCCTTCCATCCATGATTATTTATTTGAGTTATTTATGGATCTTAAAGGGATTTTGTGCTATGCACTTAACCTTTAGTCTAGAAAATTATTGTGCGTGGAATAAAATATTTAGTTTTAACTTATAAAATGAAAAATGTAAATTTGAGAAATGTAAGTTAATTTCAATTTATTAATTTTTGTCTACTTTATTAAACATGAATGATTCTCCTTGTAAAATCTATAATATATTATTATTTTTCCAAATAAAAATGATTGTTTTTAATAATAACACATTTATATTCATAATTGATTAATAAATAATAATGAAATAGCTGATTTCTGATGTAATATCAAATTCTTTATCAATTTACAAATAAATTTTTACAGGTAAGATATAATTCATAAGTGAAATGATATACACATAGTTAAAAGCTATGCTGAATAAAAATAATTTTAGAAAATTAAATCAAAATGCATAATTAACTTTTCTCAAAATAATAATTTCAGTTATGACGATTCATTTTTTAAATCACATGGCTATGCATTATTAATTGCTTTTGGAATAGAAACAATAATTGAATTATTCAAAATACTTTATGTAGCTTTTACCTTGTAAATTAAGTACAGATTTTTTATATTTTGGAAACCATGAATATGGAAGGGAGAAATAAATAGCAAAATGTCTTTGTATTCTTATTTTTTCAATCATATTGCTATTCTTTTACATTCATAAATAACAAAAGTATGGTCAGTTGTGTCAGCTTATTTGCAGAAAGAAGAATCTGGCAGACACTTTCTATAGTCTTTATTAGATGACAATTTTATCCTTACAAATTGACAAATTAAAACCTACTCACATAATTACAATTCTGACATTTGCAGTTACAGTAATACCCCGACTTACGCGAACCCGGAGTTACACGATTTTCAAATCTCGTCGATTCGTCTTTTGTTTGAGCGCCACGCAACCCTTGATTACTCACTCCCCCCACACTATTGTTCAGCTTACATGTTCGGATGTGTCACACGGAATCCACACATAGCTACAATTTATTTCTGTGTTTGTTATATCTACGGAGACTTGAGAGACTCTACTATGTCATTCAAACGAAGTAGAACTAATTCTTCTGCATCAAACAAGAAAAGAAAAACTTTATCTTTGGAATGTAAGTTAACATTGGGTATGTTCGTAAAGTCAAACGAGTTAAACGAGAATGACGTCATCGTTATTCCTATTTTGTTAGACTTTTTGACCGATTCGTTACTAACGTGTTTAACTCGTTTGACTACGAATGTACCCATGATTAAAGACTTCAATACAAAAATGAAAATTTGTGAATTGGCAAAGAAGTTTGATCTACCGGAATTGTCGGTCAGAACAATTATAAAAGGCAAAGAAAAAATTCTCGAAGCTGTGAAAAATGCTCAATCTTTAAATTCAAGCATCATTCGTAAACGTCACAGTATTATCGCTGAGATGGAAACAATGTTAAAATTATGGCGTAATAATCAAGTAAATGTGAAAAATTGTAAAATAATATAGGCCTAATTTGTTATACATATGTATTATCTAAGATTTTATTAAACATTTTTTTCTAAATTATTGTTTTCTTTAGTCTCCGGCCCCAATTAAAAATTATTTGTATGTATTTATATGCGAAATTATACCCCGACTTACGCAAATTTGACTTATGCGGTTACCGCTCGGTTCCACCTATCGCGTAAGTTCGGGGTATTACTGTATTTATTATGACATTGTCACAATGCCAGGCTGCAATTTTTAATAATTTTTTAAAAATTTATTTAATTTAAAATATATGTTTTCTACCTGAAATTAGTAGTGGCTTGCTCCTGTACATCATACTTTTCCTTTAACAATAGATAGATGACTGGCATGACTCTTAACACCTTTCAGAGGAAAAATTTTTGAATTGAAATAACATGACTCTCGGTTTGCATTGGAATTTCTTATATACTGTATTTACTTGCATATAGGATGAGGTGCAACTTTAAATATTAAAATGAAATAGATTTATTAATACAGTTCTAATTTTAATTTTCTTTGTTTAATCACAAATAAAATATCAAATGAACGTAAATGCACACATTTTTCTGCAAAAATTACTAGTATTTTAAACTTCAAGGAAAAATCTTGTAAAATCGACAACATAATTTGTTCATGTAAAGCTGGATGATTGGAAATTTTTTTTGCCAATTCTTAACAGTCAAAGTCAAATTCACTTTCCGTCAATTACACTTATGAGTTTCTCTGAATTCTGATTTCCAAATAATCATCTGTTTTCATGTGGGAATGGATTAAAACTTATTTCAAATTGGAATTCAATTCAAAAGCTTTGCTTTTCCTATTGCTATTCATCTTTACTCCTGACAATACACAAGAATGATTCAAACGACCCAGAAAAAATATTTTTGTTTTTAAACACCAGAGGGTGAGCATCCATTAACAAATGCAAATACATGGTTTACAAAGGTTATTGCAAAAATGTAAATAATCCTTCACTCACATGTAAAGGATAACCTACATTTTTGAAGCAGTGAAAAATGAATAAAAACCTCATCTTATGTGTGAGTAAATATGGTCCTTTTGACCCTAAGGTTTCCATATACATTCTCAAGATTAAGGAAAGACAGACAGATGGATGACAGTGGAAATTTAGAGGTCAATAATTTTTTTCAAATTGCAGCTCAAAAATCATACAAGAATCTTTGAGATAACCATCAGACCATGCTAGTATAGCAATCATTAAATTGTTCCTCTAATTTTTTTATCTGTAAATAAGAAAATTTTAACTTTTCAAATATGAAATTTCTACTGTGTAATGTTTTTAATATTAATACGAATTGGTAAGTAAAAATTTAATATTAAAATCATAGTATTTTTAATATCTTGCATTACAAAAGCTGAAACTGATGTGTAATGTAATTAATAATTATTAAAGGTATCTTTATTAAAATAATCATTAAACAAAAGAATTTAATATTGTTAAAAAAATTAAATTTGATTTTAAGTAATAGATTTTATTAAACTTGTTATTTCATTTCAAAAATTATGTAATTAAATTTCAATATATAAAAATATTTTACATTCAACTTGAAATTATAATAGAATAAGAAGTATGCAATTCCAAATATATTCTATAAAAATTTTTATGAAGTGTTGAATTATGTAAAATGCATCAGATATATTTTAATAATCTGATATGATACTTTGACAGTTTTGTAAGTAAGCACTAAAGAATATCTGAAATTCAGGAGGGACAATTACGAAAGTTTAATTCTAGAATTATTTTATTATTTTCAGTTAGATGTTAACCCTCAAATTATGATTATATGAGAAACAATTTTTTAGTTACTTTCAATTTCTTTTTCTTTTTTAGAATCATGTTTATTTTAAATTTTAAATAGCTAATTTTTTTTTATCATTAAGTTTTTAAAATGTCATGAAAGGAAATTTTTTCCACTGTTAAAATCTGTGGTGTGTGTATATTCAGTATAAAAGTGATCAAAAATAGAGAGATTTAAAATATTTTCATTTCATAGTTAGATTTTCGTGTATTAGTAAATGAACACCATTGTTTAAAAGTTTCTAGGAATTTTCAAGTTATGTCTTTAGACAATAAATTCAGCTGATGTCATTCAAGTAAAAAAGTTGAAATCTGGGTCATATTTTAAAATCCCAACTACTAGTCATCACCCTTAAATAAAAAGGATAAGTAACTTGGGTTATTCCTACTATCTCATTAACAACAGAAATTCCAAGATTTGCATTACATTAAAATTTTTGTTTTAATTACACTTTGAATAAACAATAAAAACAATACATAAATTCAATACTTAATAAAATAAAAGAAATACAACACTTAATAAAATTTTAGTGTATTTATAATTAATTCACTTTAGAACAATATTTAATGCCATCATATTAATTTACATAATAATGTCAGTTTGATTTTCTTATCACTCATGCACATTAATCTTATTTGATGTTTTTATATTGTTTCATTCATCATAATATATTAACATAATTGATCTTACTACCAATAAAAAAAGATAATGACACTTAATAACAGAACTTTATAGAAGTCATCATACATTTGATGACCTTATTTTAGGTAAAAAAATCAATATTTAAAATAATCAACAATTTTTGATTTAATATTAATAATTCTCTGTATTATAGACAACATTTAACTGCACATTCTATTCAGTATTGTATTCTTACCATATTTTTAAAATAAGGTGTGGGTATGTTGAATGCTGCACTATTGTTCAAATAATAATAATATGAAAAAAGTTACCAGATTTATTCCATTAATAATTTAGTCATAATTGCACCCAATTCCTAAACAATGGAAATAATAGTCTCCCTCTAATAAACAATGTACTTTTTTATTAGAATAAATACAGTATTTTGTATTTCTCTGGATTAATAATAGTATATTCTTTATATTTAATATAACAGCTCAGGAAATTTATAAATACTGTAAGGTAATTTGCATTTATATTTTTTGCAGTCAATATTTTCTGTTGACATTTATATTGTATTTAACATTTTAAATACAATATATAAAAATAATAAAATTTATTTCAGATGGGAGTAAGTGTAGTGGATGCATCTGTTGCTGGTCTAGGTGGATGTCCTTATGCTCATAATGCATCCGGAAATGTTGCCACTGAAGATGTGGTGTATATGTTGCATGGAATGGGAATTAAAACGGTATGTTTTGTTTTTTATCAGAATAAACTCAAACTCTCAATTATTGAAAATAGATATTATTCTAGTAGCAATATTTCTACATTTAGTTTAATATGTTAAATTATTGTTAATATTTTAAACTTTTAAGAAATAAGTCCATTTTATCAAAAAATAAACTAAAATTCTCAATATAACTTTTACACTACAGATTTACTAAATACCTATAAGTTGTATTACTAGTGCTTCACTAAAATATTTAACAGAAAATACATTAAAAAAAATAACAAATCTTAAAATTTATCAAGTTCAAACATTTAATAACATAATGATCTAATAAAAAAAAAATTTGAAGTTCTGTTTTTTTTTTTAATGTGTGTTTTTGTAATTTATTTTTCTTTTGATGAAAACTTGAAGAATTTACACTGCTCTCCTATGGAAAAATGCCATATCTACAAAAATTTTAAATTTCAAGCTGAGGTTTCTAATACTTTACATATCTGCCAAGAAGAAATGTTATAATTCATGTTTAAACATATTTTATTAGAAACCCATAAGACACCTCAACTTGAAATTTTTTTTGTAGATACAGCATCTTTCCTTAAGTGGACAGTGCATGAATGATGATTATCTTAATTGAAATTTGAATGTAGATCAGTGATTTTCAAATGGTGATAATGATTTTTTTACAATATTTTCAGGGTATAAATCTAAGTAAATTACTAGACGCTGGTGAATATATATGTCAAGCTCTTAAAAAGACTTCAAGATCCAAAGTTGCTGCAGCACTAAGCAAATTGTAATAATATATCAGTTTATTGACAGTCTATTAGATTTCATGCAACACTCACAAGATTAGAATATGATAAAATGAGTATCATGTATTTTGTAAAGGTATTTTATTTATATTTTCATATATTTCATTTATTTATTTATTCAATAAGAAAAATGTTATCATAACAAACAGTTATTACTATTTTAAAGTATGAGATGCTTGATTTGATGAATGTCTGTCTATTTGTATACTTATAAAAAATGAGAAAATATAATGTTTATAAATAGTTAAAATAACTTAATATTTGATAAGAAAACTGATTTGGTATATTTATAGAATACTGTTTTACTAAGAGTTTTAATGGTTGCAAGTTGTCATGAAATTACTATAATTATAAACCTTAGAATACTACTTTAATATGACAATAAAACTGCTTTGTTTTGTTTAAAACTAATAATAAGTTATATTGAAACTCAAATATTAATACAATGATGCTTTAAATGTATTTATGTCCAAAATTATTCAATGGATTTTGCATAATTTTGCATAGTTGTTATTCCACTTTAAAAAAATTAAATATAAATTATTTAAAGCATTACTTGCTTCTGTAATAGTTTACAATGATTTTGCATAAGTGTACTTGTAGCTGACTAAAGATTTAATGATACTGAGTTAATTTTATAATAGTATTCATTTCATAAAAAAAAAACTTAAATATAAATTATTTTTACAGCCAACACGTTTGTTTTAAATGTGCAATATACAAATTATTTATTTTGAAACAATGTAGTCTAATGTTAGACAGATACGTATAAATTTATAATCGATAACTGAGTTGGGAATAATATATTGTGCAGTATTAAAGATATTGATATAATCAAAGTAAATGTTAAAAAAAAAATGTTTTTTTGAAGTGACAGTAATGCAACATTACGCTTTACTTATCGTCTAAGTGGAGAATTACATTTTCGATTGTTTTCCTGTGTTTGTAGCATTTGTTGTTATGGTTGATAATTTAGGAGAAGTCAATGGCGGTTATCTCGGATTACGGTCAGATGGAGACTAATTCATATTTAACCATTAATCAAAAGGAATTATGTGATAAAGACTTAAGCATAGTTTTAAGAATAAATTAACATTTAGCATTACATAGGTCACCATCACCATCGTGTTACTGGTGTAATATTTTCATTTCAGAAATGTGAAATATTCATTCTAAACTAAAATTAATTGAGTTGTAAATGTAAGTTGAATATTTTCGGTTTAATTATTAATTTTTTTAAATNTAAGGCGTTGTGTACAGACATTTAATGCCAGCTTCTATGTGTCTTTTTGAGGTCAAGGATTTTTGGCAATGTCCAGGGGTTAAATCCGTCTCCGGTGTAAATTGTGTTAGAGACGGTTTGTACGTTTTATTACGTCAGGTTTTATAATCCGTACACGAGTTTAAAAAAAAGAAATACATGCCGATTAAGTTATAAAAACTGGAAAATAAACATACTTGACCTCGGTAATTTGTGTTTGTATGTAGTTATTACTATTATGTATTTTTTTTTTATTAAGTCGGGTATATTAAATCGAACTGGGTTGATCGCTCTGTAAAGATAATATTGGTCTATTATCTAAATACATCAGAAATTACAAACTGGGGACCATATAGAAATTTCTACGTGAAAGTTCAAGAATTTTATCTCAGGGCTCTCATATTACAATTCTTGCAAAATATGTCATGACTAAGTAATGAGTAATTCAAACAAGTCTTTTTGATGTGACAACAGAAATTTCATTAATTACAAGTTTCGTTTTTATTATAAAAATAACTTAGATATTAGTTTTTTATTTAACAAATTTTTTCCATAAAAATAATTAAGTCATTTATTGTCCATTTTTAAAAAGTCATTCCAATTTGACAATAGATAATCTGTTAGTGTAATTTAAATTATTGCCATTTACAAGCATATTAACTCTTCTAGTTTATATTATTTGTTAGAAGCTCTTACCATAGAAAGACAGGAGTATATATGTAAAGTGAATACACAAATTTTTTGTTTTTTTAATTGTTGAATTAAGAAGTTCAAAAAGAGCCAAAGCCAACAATAAACCATTTGTTTCACAGTTCTGACAATCCAATATATCACTTCTTTATTAATGATACCGATTACAAATATACCTGTTGTTTAATTCATCTATTCTGTCTTACGTGTTGGCTCCTCCTACAGTTTTCTAATAGAAATTAATCACCATTTCGTGCAACCATATATGATGTAAGGAGTGCACTTTTTTCTCTTATTCATTTAGATAAAAATAATGACAGCAGAAAAAATTATATTTATTATGTGATAGTCTGATCTTAGAGATAAGAGCATTACAGAATCATTAAATTTCTAAATATGGAACTTATAACAATTGTTTACAAGCAGGTAAAAATTTACAGGATGTTTTCAGATCATTGCAAAGATATGCGATTTAGAACAGTTTCTCAATTAATTTGGATAAATTATAATTAATTTAACATTCCTAGATATAACCGGATTAATTATCATAATGTTGGTTTTCACACAGAGTTAGAGCATATCGAATATCTGTCATAGGCATCATTTATATTCCAAGTGGAAAATTTTCATACTTGTTCTGGCCATATCTATTTTTATTAGGATAAATCCTACATACTTGTTGTTCGACCTTCAGCAAAACTTTGACCCCTGTCAAATACTTTTCTGATATCTCAACTCAGGCAGCAAGCAGGCAAATCGAATTAGTCAGCAACAATGACCGACATCACAAAATTAAAAAAACAAGCAGAAAAAAGTTGTAATTTTGAAATATTTATCAAAATTGTTTGGCTTTGCAATGAATTTCATATTCATGCTTATAATATTATCATCTAAATAAATGGAATTTGTCAATTTTGCCCATAGCTTTATATATCTGTAGTCCAATTTTATCATTTAATAATTATATTAACGCTGAAATTAATTTTAAACTGATAGTTTGTGTAATATTTGATATTTTAAAAAAATATTGAAATGTATAATTAGTCATAATTTATAGATATGCTAGAATAAGTTACACCCGAAAATGGCAGAGTCATTATTTGTAAGACTTTGCCATCCTTTCCAGACATAGGAAAGCATTAGTTTTGTTAGCTATGTTAAATACATATTTCTACATTTCATTCTAATTCCCAAGTTAATGTAGATAAAAAGATTAAGTGTGTTTAACAATTTAATTAATAGTTAAAATATGTTTCATACAAGTTAATTTTTCCTTATCTAATCAGTCTTATTAAAGCAATGAATACAAATTAATAATTTAACATTTAAGGAAAATTTTAATAAAAATTTTAACTGATAAAGAAAATTCAATGGATTTCTTTGTATTAACACAATAATAAAATTGATGCAACACCTATGCAGCATTGCATGTACTTAATACTAGTCTATATTGGATTTTAATTAATGCTTCACTCATTTGTGTACAGAATAATTAAAAAAAACTATGTTATAATTGTGTGGAATTGCATAACATAATACTGTATCATTCTAATTTTGAATAAATTTTATAAAAATATTTAGCTGAAAAAAATGCATGTAAACCTGAAAAAGTTATCAAAATATTGAATATTTTTATGTATAAATGTATATAATAATAAAATTATATTTTTGTTTTGTTATTTACATTTAATCTATAATAATTTATAAGTCTAAAAAATAGTAATTATCATATAAATCGGGACACATTACGCATATATTTAAAGCTGGTATCCTGTGTTACAGCGTTTCTTTTATCGTGGTGTAGATCAAAATTAAACAGGCTAATTTTGTTAAGTTTTTATGGAATTTTTTTCGGTGGTACATTATGTAAACGGTTCCTAAAATAGGTTGAAATAAACTTAGACTATAATTTGTCCCTGATATTCTTCGAAAGAAAAAAAGTTTGTTAAAATTCAGACGGGTCATCCAGAAAGACGTTTCGACCGCAAAGTATCTAAGATGTGGGTGTACGCTATACCCAGACTTGTTTATCCAGTATAAACGTCAAGAAACGACCTTCCAAACGTCCCAAATATAGAGGTTTTTACCCTAATGCTACCAGACTTTCACTTACATAACCGGAATAGGATTGTTTTTTCTTCTAAGATCTATTCTACAACTCTTACTTTCAGGAAAAACCACTTAATCACGGGCCTTGTTTGGGTAGTGTATCGCGTTACGAACTGTTCAAAAAATCCGTTCAACCGCGCCCTGCAAATACGATAGAAACAATCGTTACCGAATTAAATCGTATTATAGATCTTGCGGAGCGTGAAAATGAGTTTTATGACCATGAATCGTCCTTGATCGTAAGCTAATGGGAGTGGTGTATACCATTCATAATCAAAATAGCACCGAGTAAAGTAAGAGTTAAATGAATAGGTTATTTGTTCTCAAGTTCAATAGCTAGTTTCCAAAATCTATTCTCGTGATATTTATGACCCGATTTCCTTATTCCGTAAAACGATAATTACGTTTAAAGGACATTTCCAGCTACATTTACGCACTAATTCGGTTAAACGTTCTGTAAATACCCGTATTCAAATTATACTTCCTCTTCCCATAATAAATTCTATAATGGGGACTGGCCGTGAAGGTTATTATCGAGTTAAAATAGTTTAAGGCGTTGTGTACAGACATTTAATGCCAGCTTCTATGTGTCTTTTTGAGGTCAAGGATTTTTGGCAATGTCCAGGGGTTAAATCCGTCTCCGGTGTAAATTGTGTTAGAGACGGTTTGTACGTTTTATTACGTCAGGTTTTATAATCCGTACACGAGTTTAAAAAAAAGAAATACATGCCGATTAAGTTATAAAAACTGGAAAATAAACATACTTGACCTCGGTAATTTGTGTTTGTATGTAGTTATTACTATTATGTATTTTTTTTTTATTAAGTCGGGTATATTAAATCGAACTGGGTTGATCGCTCTGTAAAGATAATATTGGTCTATTATAGCTTGTGATAAAATTGATAGATGCTAACCTCTTAAACGCTCTAACGACGTCGCGATAGCCTCATTCATTGTTTTATCGAGTAGTTTGGAGGACCATTGTCTTGAGAGGTGCGCTACGTATATCGGAATGATGATGATGGACACACAAGTCATTAAAACTACGAATGTGATTGATGGGTATGCTCTCGGCGCCCCTTACCAAATGGTTGCCAACGAGTGCAGCGAGCACTTACGTATGCTATTTGTTTTGCATAAAGTCGACTGTATGGCTGATTCGTGCGAGTAAGTACGAAATTTAATTACAGTAAAACTTTCCTCGAGTGGGCCGTGTTTAATAATGAGAACTGCCTAATTAATAGCGAGATAGTCATCGGTCTATTGTTACTGCGGTAACATTGCGTAACGTTTCGTTTTTTTTTTCTTCTTTTCTGTGTTTACTTTTATGCCTATTGAACCCCTACAATACCCCGCTGAGCATATACCTGAAATGCAATAAATCTCAACTTGTGGTCCCTTTCCGAAGCTCCTATTTACAATTAAGTGTTGAGTCTGAGTTATTGTCTGTCCGTCCTACGAAAAAAAATGCCAAATATGGAGAAGTATGCGGGAGTAAAAATCTCGTTCAGAAAAACATTCTGGATACTCATTTTATTTATTTTATTTTTAAAGAAAAATTCGTCGGATTTGTAGGTGTTTAACGCCCTCGTTAAAGGGCATTAGC